CAGGGGAGGCCCGAGGTTGGTCCTGGGGTTACGGTCTCCAACCAGAGTGCAGGGTCTCCATCTCTTCCTGTGCGCCCTGCCCGCAGAGGTCTGGGATTCAGGCCCAGGGATCTGAACGCCTCTTGAGCAGAGGCGGAAGCTGTTCTCCCTCCGCCCCCTAATGCCAACTCAGGATTCCTGAGGCTGTGTCCGAGTCCTCTCTTGCCCTCACCGCCACACTGCACAGACCCTCATCAGGCCTTCGAGGGCTCCTGGAACATGCTGTGCAGCCACAACCGCCTCTCCATTCACTCCCTGCAACAGCTTCTGGGTTCTCTGCCCTGTTCGCCCTGGGGCCCTCCCTTAGGTACTCTTCCTACTCTATCTCCAAATCTGAGTCCATAGGTCCCTGCTCAGAACTTCTCTGTGGCTCCCTGTGTCCCTCAGGGTCAAGTCCAATGCCTTAAGGAGAGCCTGCAGGACCTTTGTACAGGGAAGCCCTGCTGGCTCTACAGCTCCCTCAGGGCTCTCCCCTTTCTCCCACACCCTTCTTCCCACCCCAGCCCCTCCCTGGCCCCCCTACTCCACTTTCTTTCCCTCACATTCCTCAGTCCACAGAACTCTCCCTCCCCTCTAGGCCTGTGGGAGCAGCCACTACCTCCTGGTGGGCATTCAGATGTCAAGCTTGAAAGCTCTTCCCCCAGGAGGCCTTCCCCGAAGTCCCTTTCCCCTCAAGGCTGGCTCAGAGGCCCTAGGCACCCCTAGGCCTCTACATCTGGACTGCCTAATATGTGGCCACTTAAACTTAATTTATATTAATTAAAATTAAATCATCTTAAGAATTCAGTTCCCCAGTGGCACTAGCCATATTTCAAGGGCTCCACAGCCATCTGTGTGTGGTTTCCATACTGAACAGTGCAGATAAGACATTTCTATCACTGCAGAAAGTTCTAGTGGACAGCACTGCTGTAGAACTGCCCACAATATAGTAATTACAACTGACCACTTTCTTACTGGTCTTCCCTGGACAAACACTGCTTCCAGTGTCAGAATACCCGGATAGAGCAGCTATATCCAGGCTCCACCCCATAGTAGCTATGTGACCTTGGACAAATTACTTAACCTCTCTGTGCCTCAATGTTCAGACAAGGCAGATTATGGGCAAATATAATTGCAGACTCTACCCTCTAATATAGACTCTCAAATCTGGAGTGATGCAGGGGCTAAGGTTATCTAGGGAATTCATCTTGTAAATGCGGCTTAAGAAAGCAAGCTGTTTAACAGCACTTTCAGCAGCAGTTAGTATCCTGGTAACCACTGTGCATGATGTGTCATTCAAGTTCATTCCTCTGCCAGACTCTGGTAGGACTTCAGATCAGCAACACTGGAGCTCAGCTCCCCAGACTACGAGGCTTCAAGATCAACCCCATGAACAGCCTGACACTCTTCTGAAACTTTCTAGAAGTCAGGTCGTTTATTCACTGTAAGGCAGGATGTTCTTACAGGTCAGTTTTGCTCCGCAGGCTGCTATAAAAAAAACTCTTGCTGATTGTAGGCAAGTAGATATCTTTCTACAAGGTAGCCTGAAAACACACAAGGCAAATTACAGGCAGGCAGAAGAGCTGTGTT